AATAAAAATAACTTATCATTTATTGTATTTTAAATAAAAAGTTTAGTTAAGTTTGAATTATAATAAAAAATATATTTAAATACTGATAATCAATAAAAATAACTTACTTTCTATAATAATATTTTAAATAAAAATTTAAGTTAAGAAGTTTATATTACAGTACAAAATATAATTTAATATTAATAATTAATAATATAACTTACCCCCTTTAGTAACATTTTAAATAAAATATTAGTCAAGTTTAAATTACAGTAAAAAGTGTTATTAAATACTGATAATTAATAAATAACTTACAATTTAAAATATTAAATAAAAAATTTAGTTGAATTTAAATTACAATAAAAAGTATAATTAAATACTGATAATCAATAAAAATAACTTACAATCTAATTTTAAATAAAAAATTTAGTTGAGTTTAAATTATAATAAAAAGTATAATTAAATACTAATAATCAATGAAAATAACTTACCCTCTTTAGTAATATTTTGTTTTTAAATAAGTAAATTTAGTTGAGTTTAAATACTAATAATCAATAAAAAACTTACTAACTAAAGTTGAATTTTTTTTTAAATAAAAATTTAAATAAAAATTTAGTTGAGTTTAAATTATAGTAAAGAATATAATTAAATACTGATAATCAATAAATAACTTACAATCTAAAATAGTTAAATAAAAAATTTAGTTAAGTTTAAATTACAGTAAAAAGTATAATTAAATACTGATAATCAATAAAACAACTTATCCCCTTTAGTAGTATTTTAAATAAAATAAAAATTTAGTTGTTTAAATTATAGTAAAATATAATTAAATACTCATAATCAATAAAATAAAATTACCATCTATTGTTATTAATTATTTTTTTAAATAAAATATTTAGTTGTGTTTAGATTACAGTAAAAAGTATAATTAATTACCGATAACCAATAAAATAACTTACTATCTATTATATTATTAATTAATTATTAATTAATTTTTTTTTAAATAAAAAATTTGATTGAGTTTAAATTACGTAATGAAATACTGATAATTAATATATAACTTATAATCTTAAATATTAAAATAAAATAATTTAAAGTTTAAATTATTATAAAAATATAATTAAATTTATATGCTTAAAATAAATTAGTTGTTAAATTACAATATAAAATCAAAGATTACTTACTCCCTATAATATTATTGATCATTAGATATTGTTTAATTAAAAACTTTAATTAAATATAATTTTATAATTTATAATAAGTTAAATGGCTTATATTCTAAGTATCAATAACAATTAATTAATTAATTTTTTTTTTAAAAAAAAGTAAAGATTATAACATGATTGTTGATTTAATAAATAGATAAATATTCATTACCATGTAATTCTCTTAATGTTGGGGGCATCAGGAGCATCCGAAACTGGCTCTATCATATATTTAATTTTGAGAAAATTTTGAAATTAATTATTAAGTTTATATCATAATTTGTGCTTAAATAATTTATAAATGTTCTTTACCATCGAATCCTTCTAATATTTTAAATAAAAATTGAGCATATTTTAAAATTATAATATTTGTTAAAATACTTAAAATTCTATTATATTTACCTTCATCACTCGAGATTAATTCTATATATCAAATTTTATATAATTAATAGAATTACAATTAATAGATTTAACTTCATTTCTCAAGTTAGTATTTTTTATTGCAAATTTACCTTTATCGATAATTTGTAAGAAAAAATTTTTTTACAATCTAAATTTTCTTGTATAAAATGAAGATCTTACCGCAGTGATTTAATAATAATCATCAAAATTTATTCTCGACTCAACTTTATCATTATTAGGTTCAGGTGTATATACTCGAATAGGTTCTCTTGTCTTTGGTTGCTTTAGTAAAAGGACTTTGAGTTTATAGTATACAGTCTGTTTATTGGAATATAAAAATTCTAAAAAAAATTATTAAAAAACAAAATTGTGATCTGTGTGGCTTAGAAATTTCGATTAATATCATCAATTTAACCCTAATTTGAACATCTGAAGAAAACGCATCATATTAATATAGAATCGAGGATTCGAAACATTTGTATTATTACTTTTTAGCAGCTGTCTATAAAGTTCTATTATTTTGCAAGTACAGTATTTTATTGAATATTAATGATAATTATATTAGTTAAATAATAAATATTTATTTCTTTTTATTTAGAAAATGCTCAAATAATAATAGTTTTATTCAGCTTAAAAGACAAGTTCTAATTATTAAAGTTTTAAATGTTAATTTTTTTTTTTAAAAAAAAGAAAGTTTATAGCGTGAGTTAATAGGATCACGTGAATAAAAAAATTTTTAATGAGAATTTTTTCATCATAAGTTAAGTACACTTAAATACTTAAATTTGATATAGAAAATAAATTCGATTCGTCAATTCTTTAAAATAACATTTCCAAGATGTAAGAATAATTATTGTATATTATGAAATATTTGAGGTGAATAAATACTGAATGACATAAGTAGTGGTAAAAAATTATATACAAAATTCGAGTTAATACCGAATACTTGTTAACTTCTTGCTTCGGAGATTACGTTAAAACTATTTACCTCGCCTCGACACCCAATATTTTGCACGTTGGGAGTCGTACCTGAGATTAGCTTGCCTATAAATCTCACGCAATATCTTATAAGATGACCCAATAATAATTTTACTATTGTTGCTTTTTTTACTTGAACAGGATAAAATTATAGATGAAGCAAGAATTTTACTAATTTTTTAAATATTTTCTTTAGATTTATTTTCTTATGGATATTTTTTTATTTTGTTTTATAATGCAAACCATGTTAGTGGAGGAAAAAAAAAAACAGGCTACTTAAAACAAAGACTTCCAATTTTAAGTAATTTTTTTCAGAATTTCTGGCTTGTAATGAAATGGTGAGGGAGTCCGCTAAATCGAATTAGATTTGTTTCATCATTTATCCGTTTTTCCATGATCATCTTCAATGGAAAATGGCTAGCCGACATCCGATTACATCAGCTAATTTTATCCATGAGAATTGTTTCTTGATTATCTCTGTTCTTGCTCATCACATGGATGAACTTTGATGTGATGATTTATACAAAGATGGTAGACAGGAAAGGACAATGGAAAAAGGCGAATTTTTTGAGGAAAACTGGAAAGACGATTGGAGCCATATTATTCTACATATGTTTCCCACCAGACACATTCTTCCTTCATGAAATGTTCATAACGTTATGAGGATCCATTTCCAATGATTTAAACGTCCTTTATAATGAGTATCTTTGAGAACGTTAAGGGCATCATCACATTAATAAATAGGATTCATGATATAACCTTCCAGGAGTGAATTGGTGGTTAGAAGTCTATCTATCGTATAGTGAAACATATGTTCTACAATTTATTGTTAAGGAATAGGGAACATGGATCACGATAAAGTGAGTTGCAGTTAAATAAGATATTTTGGAATTCATTATGTCGTGGGTAGAATAATAAGTAGATGTGATTGAATTGATTTTTCAATACTGATTTCATTATCAACATGCCACGTGAACGTGATGAAAAGGGAAATAACGACAGTGACCTGTTCATTGTAATCGTTACTTCCACTCTGTTAATGATTTTGAAAATTCAATAAATAAAATTTGAAGCAGAGTTGTTTTCATTTGCTAAATTAACTTAATAGTCCCAAAACCAAACTAACAAACGAGAACCAAATCTTTTAAAGTCTAAGAATGATTTGTATTACCATTAATAATTAATTGTGTAGTTAGTTATCGCAAACAAAACCAACACGAGAACTAGAATTAAATTGAAATTATAATAAAGTTTACCAGCTTCCAAGTAGACTACAGATTAACTCAACATTGCGAAAAGTGACGGACACGTTGTGGATTTCTTCGGTGCGATGTGAGTTCAAGTGAGTATGCATCTTGCAACAATCTATTCGTTTAGGGTTCTTGATAGGCATATTACATTCTTGGATAATGCATTCCCTTTTTCGTTTGTTAGGATATACAGATTTTGGTTCATCAAAATGATCATTCTCAGCTTTAATTCTATCTTCATACGATAGTTTTGATGTACTTTCTTCGCCAGTTTTCAGCTCTAATTAGGGAAAAAAAAAAGATAAAAAGAATTTATTATAATTTCTGAATCAGGTTAAACGCAAATACAATCAAATTCTGGAGGAGATGATAACTGATAATTGAATTTGGCAAAGATTTGGTTCACCAGCGACAAATGGTACACTGACTATCGGCAAAAGTCGTGTATTCTAATGAGAGAACAACAACTTATTTAATTGCCTCTCCGTATTCTGTCTTCGTTCATTTTTCTTTTATATTTCTTGAAAATAATTTTGATTGGTTTATAAGTATCAGTTCGATTATTTCGAAATTTTGTTGTAGAAAAATAATATAATCTTTAATACATAAATATTTGTTATATGATTTAAACTGAAATGTCGTTTTTTTTTTATTTATATCACAATTAAATTTTATATAATAAAACCCATAAATTATAAATAATATTATAAAGTAAATAAATAAAGTTTAAGCTTAAATTTCATATTTTGCAAATTTTTTTATAGAAAATTACAATAATGCTTCGTGAACTGCGCCATTCAAACTAAATAAAAAGTATTAATAATTCATAAAAAACGGCAAATATTATTTTACCAATTGTTCCATAAAATTGGATGGAAATGAAAGCCTGTCAAACACGAAAGCAAATACGTATGTATAAGCTAAGCAGGGATAAATATCTAATATCATTACATTTCTGGCGCTGAAATAATTTCTTTGACCATTTTTGGCAATCAATCACCTTGGCAAAAAAAAATTGTGCGATAGGAGGGCATGAATGACATAATATTATTTTCTTGAGCGTTGCATAAAAAGGGTTCAGATATTTTTATTCTGAGATTAAATTGCATGTGCTAATAAAAATCTACCCAATGCTGGAATTATATTTACCCTCAATTTTACAACAACATAATAATGAAATTGTTATTTGTTGCTAAATAAAAAATTATAACACGTGAAATAATAGATATAAAGAGCTGTAAAATAATATATATTGTTTTTTTAACCCTCTTCTCTTCTCTTGACATGGTTTTTTGAGTACTTAATTTTTTTTCCATGAAATATTTAAAAAATTTACAGTTCGAATAATGAAAGAAAAAAACATTTAAAAACACCGATATGATGATGTCCGAAACCTATTTTGGCATATAACTTAAAAATTTAGAAACTTTTTCGAAACCTTAAGAGTGACTTTTTCTCAAATATGAAACTTTATTAATCATTGAGTATAGCAAAACCTATTGTAAAAATATTTATTATAAACAAATAGTTTAATATCCAACATCTCGAAACTCAAATTGCCAAAAAAAAATAGTTTAGGTAGGCATTTTTAATCATTCATTCCTTTGAGATGCCCACAACTCATTTATATAGTTCATTATTTGCAGATTTCTTCGGAAAGATATGACGCAAGACACGGAATTTCCCTTTGGGTTCATCGCTTTTTCTGGAGATGAAGGCTTTTTCGCAGAAGATTTACTTTAACTTCGGACTATTTCCTTTATTATATCGACAAGCACTAATATAATTTTACTCCGAAAAAAGTGGAGGTACATATTCTAACACCATTACATCATATTGATGGTAATATATAAAATGTGGTGAAATGTCTGATTGAAAAAAAAACTTTTTTTTTGCGTTATAAAGCTTAATAAGAGTTTTAATAGATTGCCTACTTCACCTTTTATCCTTTATTCTAGATGGAACAAAATAACGAAAAAAACGACCAACCGACCCTTGATTACCTTATTGAAAGAGTTGAAATGATTGAAATACGTAAGAAGCGTAGAAGGGATAGTACAATATTTTGTACTGGGATATTAATTACGTTGTTGACTATGTTATATTCATCAATATATACTTATGGTGGTACGTTATATCTTTTATATTTTTGATAATGACCAATTTTTAAATATTTGCATAAAAAAATTAAGTTTTTTAAAATATAAATTTTAATTTTTTAAATGCCCACCATTTTTAATTTAGATTTTTGCTTAATAAAATAATCCTTCAATAATCTCAACTGTACGATGAGATAATGATTGACGAGAGATGAATATATAAAAATAACAATATATCATCGTTATAGTTCATATAATTCGCTAAATCGATGAAATTAATTAGGTTCCTCCGATAAATTTGGACGCACTAACCAACCCGAAAGAAATTACTAAAAAGTTTAATAAAGGGGAATAAATCAAAAAAAGCTTGCGAGGATATCCAATCAAAAGCATCTTATGAAGCTAAAATAATTAAAAAAAAAACATGCTAAAGATATTATCACTCTCGTGTTTTGACTGAGCCCGGCAAAGGCAGTAATGATTGCATTTATTATATTTATTTCACATCTTTTAATAAATTTATTTTAAACTTTATTTTATTATTTTAAAATTGCTTTACATTGATATTTCGTTACATTACATTCGTGTTCAATAAACTAAATAAAATTCATAAATTACCTTCCTTACAAAATAGGAGATAACATTATCGCCTAAAAAAAAGAGTCTTACCGCAGATCGATTTGAAGAATCAAAAAGTGTTAGAAAGAAAAAAAACTACTATCATCTACTGGAAAAATCAAAAATATCTAAGATGAAAAAAAAAAGCTGAATTACATATCAAGTGATCCAACCCGAAAGGATGCAAGAAATCATGCATCCTTGAAAAGTACTCATTTTATAGCTAGAAATAAACTCGAATATCTCTTTTATTATCGATCCAACCAATTTTGGGTGAATCCAGCCAATGTTAGTATATGATTCATTTAAGGGTCATATATAAGAATACATTAATAAAAAGTTTCGCGAAAGTGGATATAATTTAGCAATAATTCCAGTCGGATTGACCAGCGTCTGCCAACCACTCGATGTTGCGATTAATAAACCATTAAAGAAAAATGCACGTGTTCCCAACTAAAAGTTTAATAAGCGTTATTTAATAAATAATTTAAAACAAAGTTCATAATTTATTATCAACTAGCTTACTTTCTGCTTGATCCTTACAATGTAGTAAAAGGAATGGTAATGGCATTTCGAAGTCGACTTTCTATTTGATCCAAAAAATATACTACATTCCGGCTATCACAACGTTTTCCTATAAAATGTTTTTAAAGAATAATAAGGCATCTTCCGCTGGACAAACAGCAATGTTAGGAGTTTCTCAAAAAAAAAAAAAGAAGCTTTTGCAAATGCTGTTTGCATCACTTCCTACTAATAATAGTAGAGTTCAAGTTTCTGAATTAATTTGCGAAAATCAGACTGCCGGATTGATTGAAAAGAATTGAAAATTGCATAACGGGTTTGTTATTTTAGTAAAATTATTTGTGCGTTTTTTTATTTATTTCACAACCTTTTTCAAAATATTATATTATATTTATATGATTTTGTAATTTAGTACTATTGAAAAATATTGGAGAAAAATTATCGTCTTTTTTCCCGTACAGTATGTATTTTCACAAAGTTAGTAGTTATGTTGTCTAAATAATCATCAAAATTTTTTTTTTTTGAAAAAAAGGAAAATTTTATTATTAATTATTTTATTTTAATTATATCAATATGATTTTTTTGTAAAATATGCAGTGTGTATATACATAACTATAATTTTTAATATGTCGATAATTCGATCAAGATTTATAGCCGAGTGAAATCTAACATTTCAAATTAAATATC